TTTCTTGCCCCACACATCACTGACATCATAAACCTGTCCCTCTCCTCTGGCTCTGTCCCCATTCCATTAAAAACTGCCATCATCACGCCCACCCTGAAAAAACCCTCCCTTGATGCGTCGCAGCTATCAAGCTACCGGCCCATCTCCAACCTCCCCTTTCTCTCCAAGGTCTTGGAAAGAGTTGTCGCCTCCCAACTGCGCTCTTTCCTCTCCACCCATTCTCTTTTTGAACCCCTTCAGTCAGGTTTCCGTGCTGCTCATAGCACAGAAACTGCCCTGGTCAAGGTCACCAATGATATCCTGACCATCTGTGACCAGGGCTCCCTCTGTCTCCTCGTCCTCCTCGACCTATCGGCAGCATTCGATACGGTCGACCACGCTATCCTACTCCACCGCTTGTCCTCCCACCTCAACCTTCAAGGCACTGTCCTTGAATGGTTTAGCTCTTACCTTTCCCACCGTCTTCACTTCGTCTCAACGAATGGCTTCTCCTCCACCCCCCGTACTGTCTCATGTGGTGTCCCTCAGGGCTCTGTCCTCGGTCCCCTCCTCTTCACCCTCTATATGCTCCCCTCGGTGACATCATCCGCAAACATGGGGTTAACTTCCACATGTATGCGGATGACACCCAACTCTACCTTTCCTCCTCTACTCTCAACTCCACGACCACCGATGTCCTGACAGCCTGCCTGTCCGACATCGAGTCCTGGACGAGAGACAACTTTCTTCAGCTCAACGTGCGAAAAACCGAGGCCCTCCTGATTGGCTCACGTCAGCGCCTCCGCACCTCAGGCGCTGACACCATCAGCATCCAAGGCTGCACTCTCCACCTCTCAAAGCCAGTCAGGAACCTCGGCGTTTTGTTCGACCCTGAGCTGTCCTTTCTCCCTCACATCCGCACCACAACTGGCACCGCCTTCCATCACCTCCGGAATATCGCCAGATTACGGCACTACCTCACCCCTCACGCTGCTGAAACCCTGGTTCACGCCTTTGTCACCTCAAGGCTGGACTATGGGAACTCTCTCCTCGCCGGCCTTCCCGCCACCTCCCTCCACAAGCTGCAGGTCATTCAGAACTCTGCAGCTCGTGTACTGTCCCGCACCAGGCTTCGGGACCACATCACTCCCACCCTCGCTCGCCTCCACTGGCTCCCCATCCCCCAGAGGATTGATTTCAAGATCCTCATCCTCACCTACAAGGCCATTCACGGCCTTGCTCCCTCCTACCTCTCCAACCTACTATCCCCCTACCTACCTGCCCGTACCCTCCGTTCCTCTGGCTCCGGTCTGCTCCACGTCCCCCGCCCCAACCGCCCTACTATCGGTGGTCGGGCCTTCAGCCTCTCAGCCCCGAGGCTCTGGAACTCCATCCCCCAGTGCCTTCGCCTTGCTTCCTCCCTTTCCTCCTTCAAGGCCGGTCTCAAAACCTTTCTCTTTGACCGTGCCTTCAGCTCCCCTCTCGACTCTCTTCCTCCTCCTCGCTCCCTCCCTTCCCTCCCCTCACCCTGACCATTTCCCCCCTCCTCTCCCTCCCTTCCCTCCCCTCACCCTGACCATTTCCCCCCTGCTCGGGTCATGACCCAACTGTGCAGCGCCTTGGGACGTCCTCCTGACGTGAAAGGCGCTCTATAAATGGAATCTTGTTGTTGTTGTTTAACCTTTTTTTGGTCAGCCGGGTGTCTGACACTTGCGGAAACCCATCACCGTTGCTTAAGAGTATCCAAACCAGACTGGGAATTCCCTGCCTCCCATCTACACATGGAAATTCCAGAGATAGGTTGTTGGAATGGAATGCGCTCTCTCTCTCTCCCTGGAGATACGCATCCTGCTTACCTAATTCCGGAAAGTATCAGGCGCAGGTCGGCAAGAGCCAAGGCTTCGGGGACCCCAAAGTGTGCGTTGGGGTAACTGCTAAGGGGCTAACTAGCTAAAACTGCATAGCTTGCTATGGATATCGCTGTCTGGCTAAGCTTTCCCGCTGCTAGGACCACCTACCCATTTCCCAGGAGCTGAGTGGGAAGTTTGCCTCTCTGAGCCCTATCGATGAGCTAAGCTGGCTGGTCTGTTGTATCATTTGCCCCAAAGAACTGCGGACCCTCCTGGCTCAGGAACGAGACTAGCAAAACCGCTGCAGAAAAACAACTGGATACCGACATTCCGTGAACAAGCACGTCACTTTATTACTTTACAAAATAAGACGAAATGGGACCAGGCGGTGATGCATCACTGATATTCTCTGGCTTACTCCGCACCATTTGATCTGAGCTCTCATTTCCTTTCCCCGTCATGTATATGTGTCTTTCTCACCAGGAGTTTTAAAGTTTCCTGAGGTCAGAAGCAATTAATATCCCAGGAATGAGAGGGAAGTCTGTAAATACAGTATATTTCACCCACAAACTACACAGTCAATCCACTTTACAGTATATTCTGTGAAGCTCTTCAGTCTGAATCCCTAAGAACTTAAGAGTCAAACTCAATAGACTCTAAGGATTTGGTCAGTCAATAATAACAATAAAAATAATTTTGACACTCAATCCATGACTGTTTGTGGGACTCTGCTGTATGCAATTGGCTGCGGCATTTCACCCACAAAATGCACAGTCCATCCACTTTACAGTATATTCTGTGAAGCGCTTTGAGACATCTCAAAGATGTGATAAGGCACTGTATCAACGACAACAACTACAAATTACATTTGTATCATGCTTTTAACATCAGGAGCACGTCGCAAGACTCTGGACAGTCAGGGATCCACTTCTGGGCTGCTGGCTTGGATCAGGAGGGGGTGGAGGGCGGGGAGGGTAGGGGTAGGAGGGTGACTGAAGGCATGGTCGAAGAGGAGAGTCTTGAGACAGGTCTTGAAGGAGGCGAGAGAGGGGGTGAAGCTTAGCAGCTGTGGGATGGAGTTCCAGAGGGTGAGGATGAAGACACTTGTGCAAATGGTGGAGCGGGCAAGGCGGGGGACATGAAGCAGGCCGGAGCCCACTGAGCTGGGGGAGCGGACAAGTTGTTAGGGGGTTAGGAAGTCACAGAGATATTATCAAACACAAGGATTATTATAATTATCAGAATCATTGCACTCTCCCCCCCCTCTCAATATCCACAATTTATTGAAGGTGACAGGGTTATGTTGAGGGGATATATTTTATGTCAGATTATTTCACGATACCCACGTAGAGTCGGAGTAAACAATTTTGCATATCTGACCCATTCAGACCCACATCTGACTCATTCCTGCATTCCTCAGGGGTCACTGCAAAGACAAGAGCATTCCCATCAGAATAATCCTGGTGAGTTAAGTAGTTAAGTTCATCTGATTATAGGGTCAAAAAGTCATATTTCATATTGCTCTCGCTGAACTGTGGATTTTAATCCGCACCAACCACCCAAAAAAATTCCTTTTGTTTGATCCGGCTGGACTGAAAATGCATATTCACACTCCCACCCCCCCCACACCAATTACTTTACTTTGAAAGTGCCTTATATTAGAATTTTAAAAGTTTTACAAGTTCCTTAGGTTAAAAATACTAATGTGACAAAAAAAATCCGCTCCACTAAAAACACGGAGGTGAAACTCGATTGAAATGTAATGGTTTTATTTGCATTTAATCTGTTCCTTGGCCTAGCACATCCTGATATGACAGATAAGGTATTCTAAATAAAGCGATTATAAATAACAACAACAACAAATTACATTTTTATAGCACCCAGACACACACGGACACACACATTCCCTTCCCAAACCAGCTTCCCACTTTGTACTTCGGATTACACGCACGAAACTGGGTTGCGACAAAAGGCAACACGAAGTGCCAACTCGGCCTTCGGTTAAATTAAATTGTGAAATAATCGCTGCTGTGATAGGAAAGGCAAGAAAATATTAAATGCGGTTCATTGGATGGTGATGGGCTTCAATAGGAACACAGACAGCGAACCAGCGAGAAAGACAGACCCATGAGGTTGATCCAAATTTGAATCAAAAAGCGCGATGAAATAGTGAGTGTCTGGCTTGGGGTTTGGCTCAAGGATTTAGATAGAAAAGCCAATTCTGTTTTACTTACAGGGAGCTACATAGAGGGATTGGGAGTTTACTGATGACATACAGTGAATTGAACACACTGTTTGGTTACACAGTTGACCCAATCAGCTCATCAATCAGCTGTTAAACTCTGTTATGAAGCAATTTATTTCATGATAGATGTAAATCCAGATTTATTCTGGGAGGGGAGAGGGGAGAAAGAGAGAGGGGAGAGGGGTGAGAGAGAGGGGAGGGAGAGGGTGGAGGGGAGAGGAGAGATGGGGTGGGGGAGAGAGAGAGGATAGAGAGGGGGGAGGGGAGAGAGAGGGGGAGGGGGGAGAGGGGGCAAAAGAGGAGGGGGAATGTAGATTATCCAAGAGAATCCTGCACATCTTTGGTTTATTGGTACAAAGTAATCAACACTTAACATACATACATACACACATCACAACTCTGCATTAAGAGACTACATTTTGCCACTTAAGGAATATTTTTTCAAAAAAGCAAACTTTTTTTGAGGTAACTGGTTTTCAACCGATTGCGAATCATATATTAATTAGTTTTATACATATTATATATAATTTATCATCTGTATATTATATTTGGGGGATACAGTTTATGAATAATTCGAGCCATGACATGTAGCATATAAGTTTTGCCCACAAAATATGCAGTCACTCCACTTTACAGTATATCCTGTGAAGCACTTCGAGACATCTGAAAGGTGTGATAAGGCGTTAAATAAAATGCAAGGATTATTATCATAGTAGGTGTAATATGGCTTGGAAGAACCAGGTAAGGTACCCAAAGCTTTCCCACTGTGTTACAGACTAACCCCACACCGAATTAACGGCTGTCAAACATCTCCATTGGGGTAGTGTGGGACTACCAGGATGGCAGAAGGCGAATTGGATGGATTTGGGTGTCTTTTTTTTCCCCGTCTAGAATTCCTGTTATAAGGTGATGGTTCGCAAGAAGCTCTAACTCACAAGGACTGTGCCCACTTGGTCTTCCCGGCCAAGGGGCGTTGGAGCCGGGGAGGGGATGCGGGAGGTGCTTGGGGAGAAGGGATCCTTGACTCCCGGACTCTCTCGCTCCCTCCTCTTCTCTTTCATTCTCCTGTTCTGGAACCAGATCTTCACTTGACTCTCGTGGAGGCTCAGAGCTGAGGCTATCTCCACCCTGCGAGCCCGGCTCAGGTACCTGCTGAAGTGGAACTCCTTCTCCAGCTCAGTCAGCTGTTTGGTGTTGAAGTTGATGCGCACTGTGGTGGAGTCAGAGACACCGGATTTCCTACTCCAGTCTCCCCTTTTCACTGCGAATTACAGTTCACACAATGGGTGGTATCGCCTCCGAGCAGAACTGGACCATAAATATAACGGTCTACTGAACCCATCCCCTCCTCTCACCCCCTCCTCTCACCCCCTCACTTGCCCCCTCCTCTCACCCTCTCCTCTCACCCCCTCACTTGCCCCCTCCTCTCACCCCCTCCTCTCACCCCCTCCTCTCACCCCCTCACTTGTCCCCTCCTCTCACCCCCTCCTCTCACCCCCTCACTTGCCCCCTCCTCTCACCCCCTCCTCTCACCCCCTCATTCGCCCCTATTACCCCCCACCCCACCCCCACTCATCTCGGAGTTTTCAATGTATTCATTAATGTGTTAAAAAGTAGGATTTTTCCCCCCTCTCTCCCTCCCATTATATAAAACAACCCCAATAAAATAACGAATGATTTACTTTGCCCCGTGCGGTCGAACTGGACATTGTTAAGCAAAACAAACTTTTTTTTAAAAAAAAAGCGCGTCGTCGTATTAGATATTAGCGTCGATTTCGATTTTTTTTTGAAAAAAAATGGAATCGTTGAATTAACTATTAAATCGAACGGACTGAATATTAAGCGGAAAATCTTGCCCGGCGGTCACTTAAACGGTAGATGGTGTTAAATCGATGTGATTTTTCCGAATTTAGAATTGTTCTCGGTTTCTAGTGAAGTTCATTTTGATAATAATAATTATTATGATGATAATAAATTTATTTTTGACTGTTGGGGCTGGGGTTAAGGGGGTGGGTGGATGGGTGGGCGGGGGGGGGGGGTGGGTATGGGTGTTAAATAGACATCGGACCAGGCGATTGCGAACAAATAGTTAATTTGGATACAGCCTGGATAACCTATGGAGAGACTGCATGTTAATAATGATGGGAAGAAGCACAATTTCCGGGATCACCTGCTCGGATCCGCTTCACTTTCATCCACTCAAAAGTTCTGGCGGGTCTGTGGGGGTCGGGAGGCGACACCGGTCCATCCCTACTCGGTTGGGTCAATAGAGAGTCGCTGTGTCCCAGAGAGAAGCCCAGATGTTCTTTCCCGTTGACTTGGAATGGGTCAACTGCGCCAATGCCACCAGGACACCCACTGACGGGAGAGGTGTTCTGCCCTCCATATAGGGAGTCAGAGACGGGTTCAGAGCTTCTGCCGACGTCTCCATCGCTGTCGGCGGGGAAGGAGCCTTTCCAGCCGGACTTGGGGGCTTGGGGTGAAAGGGTTGGTGGGTCTGCCATGTAGGGGCCGTGGAGAAGGTTGGCCGGGAAGCGGGGCGATTCCGACTGCGAATGGTGCGCATGTTGGGGTACAGGGTGGGGGTGAGCGCCTCTGCCGACCAGCTGGCGACTTGGCTGCTGGCAACATCCCACCATTAGCGACCCCTGTGCGGTTGGGCGGGTATGCGGATATCCAGCGTTGGTCTGGCCCTTGTACATCAGGTCTGAGTAGCGGCTCATCCTCGCATCCTCTAACCCCCGTCCTGTCTGTCTTGTCTTCCTCAACCATTGACTATTTCCACTGATTCCAGACACAGGACACAGGGAAACAGGAAGGATATTTCCATTTATTGGCACAGGTCACGTGCAGACTTCTGCCAATGACCAGAGTTGAATTGGGAAGTAATTAATTTCACTGTTTTCCTCTCTCTCTCTCTCTCTCTCTGAGATAACGGACCGATCCGAAGAGAAAGAAATCGGATTCCTGCCTTCTCAGCCCTGCAGTCTCAGGTAAGCTCTGGTGGTCAGGAATCCAACAGGACAGAAGGGGAATGGAATATAGTGCAACTTTAACATACATTAGACGCGACAGAAGTTTATAGAGAAGTGCAGCTATCGCAGGAGACATTGTGTTCACAAGGTGTACAGTCACAGGAAATTTAGTCCACCCGTACAGGGATGTAGTCTTAAGAATACGGAATCTTTCTAACTTATATCTAACTCCTCAGTCCAGATCCCGAAGAACTTGGAGTCGAACTCAACAGACTCCTGAGATTTGGTGGCTTAATGCTGCTGCTGATGATAATAATAATACGATCGTTCAATCCGTGGCAGTTTGTGCGTCAATACTGTGCGCAATTTCACCCACAAAATACTCCCCGCAATTTGCTTTACAGTATATTCCGTGAAGCGCTATAAGACGTCTCAACGACGCGATAAGACGCTAAATCAAATGCAAGGATGATGATTATTATTATTATTATTATTGGCAATAGACTGGACAACCGATGTAGAGATTTAAGACAACGTTGGGGTTTATATCAGGTCAATTGGTCTTTATTATATTGGCTAAATAATAGCAATAGTGAAAGAGGTTAATGCACTTCACTTAACCTTATTGAAGCGCCCATTGGAAGGTTATCAATTCATTCTCTGCAACCGAGTACCGGGGTTTGATTGGTACATTGTAAGGTTTATCGTCCCAACTAACCGAGGAGGATGCTGAGAATTCACACCATCACTTTGCAAAGGATATTCGCACCATTAACATTCCGCATTTGCCATCGCCCATCTCCCGCAAACTGCAGCCAGTGTGGGCGGACATCCAGCCGCAAGTCCTTGCGACATTTCTATTCGCTCACTTCGGTAGCGATGAATGGGTTAAGATTTGTTACACTTACTCCAGCTATATTACAAACAAGTGTCCGAGATTAATAAAGAAGATCAAATGGGCCAATCAGTCAGTCAGTTAATCAAGTCAGTCAGTCAATGAGTTAGTTACTTCATGGCTCTCTGTGCGCAAATTGCAAGGTACACACAGTCACTACACTTGACAATGAAATCCAACGAGGCGCTTCTTTGCGACGTTTGGATGGTAAATGCAGTACATAGTATCTACTTTATTCCAAACACAAATGGGTTGACCTATATGGCCTGTGGTGTTTGCTGTGTGTGGGGGGGGGTGGTGGGTGGGGGTGGGGGGTGGGGGGTGATATCCAGACTGGGTGCTTCTGGTTGGTCCGCTATTGAGACCCGGAACCTCAGATTGATTTATGGAAATGATTACTGTGAGAAGTGCGGTGGCGGAATGCATTAAGCGGTGATCATATGGAGGGGATGACTGGCTCCTCCGATCTCCATCTGCTCGGAAGGAAGTGCTGGAGCCCAACTCATTAATATTTACACCAACAGCTTTCCGATGCCTCCCGCCCGCCCGTCATCTGCAAAGGCGAAGGGACCCAACCAGCAAATGGAGCCACTTAACAATTCTTGGGTTTATTAATACATGTGAATGGAAATTCTTCTCAGGGTCTCTGTCAGGGACTGGGCCGACCCCCCCCCCGCTGTGTGGGGGTGGGGGTGGGGGAGAAAGGGGGTGATGACTAAGGAAATCTGCTGAAATAATTGACCCGACTCTCAAAAGCAAGTTGATTTATCTGATTAATTCAAGAGCCACCTTCTCACAATCTGAATGGGTTGAGATTGGGTTTTAATGTCGTGATATATTGGTCCTATCTTTCTGGGCAATATCTCTAAAAGTCTAAAAGATTTTCTCTCTCCCCTCCCCCCCCTCCCCCCCTCCAACGCACACACACACACACTCTCTCTCTCTCTTTCTCACACATACCCTCTCCCAAATTGTACATCATTCCAATATGGCCGGAGTAACACTGGTGACTATGGGTGAACTCAATGAAATGTCTTTTGCAACATGGACCGAGGCAACTTGCCCCATCTTGGCTCTATGAGTTGCCTATTTAGTCCCTCTCTCTCTCTCTATATATCTATATATATTTGATAACGTTGGCCCATTATAGGGCTCAATGTGCCCCTTTGAACAATTAATTGGCTCCTTCCAAAACCAGTGGATATTCACTCTCAATGTGTATGTGAGAGAGAGTGGGCGTTTCAGTGTATGTGGGTGAGATTATTACAAGGAGAATAATCTTTGCATTTGACACGAAGTCCCAAAACGCCACACATGTCATTCCTGTCATGTGTAGTGACTGCATTTGTTTGCAAACATAGACTGCAACTTGTTGCCCCCCCTCCCCATTTTCTGTCTAATGTTTTTTCCTAGCAAACAGCCATAAAGATGTGTTGAGGACAGATCAAATCTGGGAAATTTACCTTTCAGAGTCTTGACAGCTCACTGCAGGAATTCAAGGCATTTTGTATCAGGCAAAGTGCAAAAAGTGCGTGTGTTGTGCATTCTGCATTTTCTCTGTAAATTTCTCTGTACATTTCTCTGTAAATTTGCTTCCGAAAAGAGAATCTAAATCTCTCAGATGCTCCTTGTTTTTACCTACACTTAACCTCGATTATTTGTGCAGCACTTTGAGGTGTTTTCATCTGATTAGGTGCCATAAATATATTTATACCAATTATTATTAACGTCATACAAACATTTTTTTTCTTTCTGACTATCTCTGTTTGATTCATTCCTCCGTCCACTGTACGGATATTACTGATTACTATTAATTACATGGCAGTGCATTGATCGATTCCTTAACGAATGAACCGTATATTCCGAGGCTATTCGTTGAGTCTTGCTAAAGGCGTTAAATCGATTTCAATGCGCATGGGAGATAATAATAATAATAATAATAATAATAAATAATATCCGTACATTTGATATAGCGCCTCATCATGTGTTCGAGACGTCTCAAAGCGCTTCACAGAATATATTGTAAAGTGTAGTGACTGTAGTGTATATTATGGAAATACATTACATTATGGAAATATACATTTTTATATGGTGTATATTAAAAAATCTGTTTTATATATATATAAAAATATATTGATACATGAGAAAACGCAGAACAGTTTAGATAAATACATATCGATAAGTTCTGTTGTTTAATTTCCTTTGATTTTCCTATTTGGAGGTGGGTGTTGTTAGGCTCTGGTGATGATGATTCTCCAACACAGAGCAGGAGAGAGGGGATCATTAATCAAATGCGGGGTTGGGAAAGTTCTCCCTCAAGGCGGAGAGGGGTTTGGAGTATCTGCGGCGCTGTGTGGGAATTAAACTCGCGTTTGGTGTGTTTTCTACCGAGTTCTGGGACACATTCCTCGACCAAGTAGGTCAATTAACGCCCAAGGAGGCTGAATATTCAAGCCTTCTTCACTTTGGCCTCTCTGCTTTGGAGAGACAGAGACACAGAGAGAGACACAGCAGCGTTACCATAACCAGCAAAACACTCAAGTCACATAAAACTTTACAGTATATTCTGTGAAGCGCTTTGGGACGTCCAGAAGACGTGAAAAGCGCTATATCAAATGCAAGGATTATTATTATTATTATTATTATTATTATTATTATTATTATTATTATTATTATAAACGGTCAGTCGGTAACCTGGGTGGGGAGAAAGGATTAGGGACCTGGGCACTTGGTAATGTTAATTTCACTTCACTTCAAATGGTAACCAGTTGAATGTAACGTTACTTAACAGGAGAGGACAACGAAAACGACATGGCCTACCTACTTTAATAAATTCTGACAATAAGAATATTTTTTTGAACTTGTATGCGGTGTGTCATATCGATCATATAATTTGTTAACAATACGAAAAGAATTTCTAAATAATAATAATCCTTGCATTTGAACTCGCGCCTTATCACATCAGCGAGACGTCTCAAAGCGCTTCACAGGATATAATGTAAAATGAATTGGCTGTGTATGTTCTGGGCGAAACGCAGCAGCCAATTGCACACAGCAGTGTCCCACAAACAGTCGTGGATTGAGTGAGCAAGTTTTTTTTAAGGGATTGTTCATTATTAATTTTTTTAAAAAATTGAGACATATTTTCAACTTTTGGAATTAAAAAAATACATATTTTCCTTTTACCAATTCCACTGTATCTTCTTTAAGCTTTCTCCAATGCTCGTCTGGTCATCTGAAACAGCACTGTAACATCTCACCTCTTCGCTTTTTGGAATAATCGTGAAAATAGCAACGAGGTGATGTGACCCACTTACAAAGGGGCATCGTTGACAGTGATTTATGAGCTGGTGATGGGGGCGGGGGAGAAGAACTTCAAAGGCGTGTTCAATAGATGTTGAAGGATGTGGTGTTGATATACATTGTGTACAGTAGTCACCTACTGCTTGTTTAAAGCAAGAGACTGTTTTCTGGGGCATTGGTGATTTGTGACTCAATGATATTGAATAATAATAATCCTTGGATTTGATATAAGAGCATAAGAAATGCTAGATGAAAAAATAACCAAGGTCCATTTAGTTCGCCTTCCGCCTTTCTGGGGTCGCATGCACATATGTTCTGAACTATCTATGTACTATATCCCATAGTGTTATTTGCTAAAACAAAACTAGCTAATCTGTGTTTGAAGGAAACGACGTTTCCTCCTTCAACCAACTCCCTAGGGAGCCTATTCTACAGGTTCACTCTTCGCTCACTGAAATAGTGATTCTGTAGATTAGTTCTGAATTTGTTCTTTGTCAACTTTGTTCAATTTGTTGCACTCTCCCATCTGAGTCAAAGAGTACAGACATTT